TTAGAGTTAGTGATAAAGGTCATTGGCACCCTGCTGCCCGACTTAAACTGAGAACCAAATGCTTGTGCAAAGTTCTCAATTTGATACGTTGTTCTAGGCTCTATGTCTTTCTGAGGATCTATCTGGCTAGTTAACTCCTGAGATGGTATCTGAAAGCTTGTGGAGGACTCTAAGTTTTTCTGTTCCTTCTGGCTAGTCAATTTCTGAGATGTAGACTGGTAGCTTGATGAAGTCTCTAAGCTTTTCTGCGGATCTATCAGATCATCCAGCTCCTGTGATGGAGTCAGCTGCTGATGGGTGGCCTCCAAAGCAGATAAATAAAAACCTGGTTGAGATCCAAGCAACATCCCAAAAGGAGGCTTTGGCAATGTAGTTGGCAACACTGAGGTAACAGATTGGCTGAAACCACACTCCAGGGGAGATGTAGTGTATATCTGTTTATCTGGAAATAAAGTGTGGTTATGGAGAGTTGAAGACAAACTAACAAACTGGAAACTGGGTCCAAAAGCAAAACCAGTGCTATTTGCTGATCTTTCAAAAGCTTGCTGGATGTATTTGGAATATCCTTGTAACATGTTTGCTTTGTCACTTGAAGGTGTCTGGTTGCCTGGGCTCAAATTTTCCTCTTGAACCATGTCTGAATGTTCTCCTGAGGGGTGTAAATCAACTCGTTCCGTTATACTGAAAGGATCCTCTTTCTGCCCCTCAGATTTACTGGAGTACTGGTCCAAAAGACTTTGTAAGACTTCATCAGGGATTCCAGACTTGTCATGACAAGACTTGATCTCAGTGTTTAGAGATGAGGAATCAATAAGTGACAACGATGCTTCATTATCCATAACGCTCACACCTGCAGACTGGATGACAGACTGTTGGGAGGCCATGTGTCCAACATTTATAGAAAAGGCACTGTTACCGCTGGCAGTTTGTAAATATCTTCTTTTCTTTGAAAACTGCATGGCATCATCATAGTTGCTGCTTAGCTGGCCTTGCTTGCCACCTGCACTCTGGAGAAGACTAATGGCCTCCACGCCACTATTGGACACTATCCCAAGAGAACCACTCGGTTTCCCTGACAGTGATTTCTGTCCAACTATATCTGGTAATGGTGACACAAAATTAAGGTAGTTTTTGTCTGTATTTTTTCTGCTTCCTTTTTTGAAGACCAACTTTGGCACCCTTTTTTGTAATTCATCTATACCAGTGCCAATTATGCCACCACTGGAAGACACAATAGGAATTTCTACTGTATAACTCTGCATGTTGATATTATTTGCAATTTGTGATTCATTTGCTTTACCAGTCTTATGTTCCTTGTTTTCAATAGATACGCTTTTTGACTTATTTTTTCTCCTTGAAGAACTTGTATTTCCCTGAGACAACACAGTCAGGTTACCCATATTGTTATGGTTTGATGACCCAGGTTCTGCACTAGCTGCTCCTTTAGCTAAGGCTTCACCACATGTGCGCCTGTGCTTCAACAATCTATCAGTCCTTGAAAAATACTGTTGACAAGTATCACATTTGTATGGCTTTTCTCCACTATGTGTCCTCTTGTGTCTCTCCATATGGTACTTCTGAATGAACTTCATGCTGCATTGATCACACCCAAATGGCTTCTCTCTACTATGAATTTTCTCATGTCTTTGCAGTAGATACTTCTGAATGAAACCCATGCTACACTGGCTGCATTGGAAAGGTCTCTCTCCTGTGTGAATGAGGACATGTCTGCGCAGGTGGTAGGAGCTCCTGAAAGCAGCGCTACAGTGTTCACAGATGTGAGGTTTCTGACTTGGGGAAAGAATGGCACCTTCTCCATCTCCGACCAGAGAAGGTTTGGAAGAAGCGCTGGGCTTCCGCTTGGCTTTGATTCCCTGAGATTCTGGCTTTGGCCTCTTTGCCTTTTTGACATTAGTGTCCTGCTTTGGCTCCTCGTTGCCGTGGTGGTCATCTGTCCTGCTACTGCTGAGTAACACGTCTCGGTGGTGCTGGGGGGGTGGGTGCTGGCCATGCTGGTGGAGAAGGCTCAGATCCTGGATGACGCCGTGGCTCCCCCCCTCCCCGCCTCCTAGGCCGGGAGGTCTCTCCTCCGCCCCTGCAAACAGTCCTCCATAGTGGTGGTGGTGGTGGTGGTGGTGATGCTGCTGCTCCTCCGGGTCGGTAGGTTTCTCTTGTTTGATGCTCACCAGGGACTGCAGAAATCCCCAGGAGTTCCTCTGCGGGGGGTAGGCCGCGGCCGGCGCCGCGGGCTCCTTCTTGAAAGTCATGTCCGGGGCAGGAGGAGGAGGCGGGGGAGGCTCGGCGGCTGGGGCTGTGGAGTTGGAGGTCGAGGAAGAAGAGGAGGAGGAGGAGGTCGAGGAGGAGGAGGAGGAGGAGGAGGAGAGGAGGAGAGGAGGAGGAGGATAACACGCACTGCGGGGGAGGGGCGGCCCCCACCGCCGCCCGGGTGAAGCTGGTGACCGGGGGGAGCCGGTGGTTGAACATGACCATACTCGGGGGGAAGGTGGGTTCCATCTCCGCCCTCCTGCTGCTGCCGCCGCCGCCGCTGCTGCTGCTGCCGCCTGCCGCCGCCGCCGCCGCCGCTACTGCTACCGCTGCCGCCGCCGCCGCCGCTACTCAGGAACCCGCTGCCGACTTTCATACCCCGGAGGAGGCCTGGCTGAGGAGAGGAGGAAAAGGGAGGAGAAGGGAGGGAAGGAGGAGGAACCGGGCCCCGCGGCCGGGACCACCGCGGCGCTCAGACCCCGCCGCCGCCGCTGCTGCCGCCGCCGCCGCCGTCGCCGCCGCCCAGACCGCAACGCGCCCGGCGCTTCGCCCCGGCCGCCTCCAGCCCCAGCGCACCCTACCCCGGGCCTTCCCCCTCCCCCCTCCCCGGCCCCCAGCAGCAGCACTTACGGGTCCCGCCGCCGCCGCCGCCGCCGCCACCGAAGCCGTCGTCGCCTCCAGTTAATAAAAATAACGCCGAGTCCTCTCCACAATGGAATTAAAAGCCTCCCTGGCACTGCGCAGGCGCGGCGCGGGGTCTGCTGGGAACTAGTCGACCCGGCCGGAGGGGAGCTCTGGGGAGCCAGGGCGCCTGCGCAACAGTTTCCGCCCGGCCGGCCTGTCAATCATTCGGGCGGTTGGGCCCAGGGTTGGGGCCGACTCGTGTGCGGCCAGTGGGGCGGGGACTTGTGAGGTGACCGGCGGGGTGGGCCTGGTCTGAGGCAAAGAGGATGAGGGCCCAGGGCGCGTAGGACCTTAGACGTGCAACTGGCAGGGCCAGAAGGGACGAGGATTTGGGATTGGAGTCACCCGGGCAGGAAGAAAGAGGGCGCCCGGGAAAAGGAAGGAGCAAACGGGGAAGGGATGGAAGGTGAAGTGGGGAGCAGAGGGGGACCTAGCCCATCAGCGGGTTGCTCAAGGTTAGACTAGAGCACCCCCTTGGGGGCCCTCGGTGCTGGACCTCAGACACCCCCCTTCCCCAGTCGTCATGCCGTCACCAAGTCCATTCACCCCTGCGTTAGTTCGTGGTCTCTTGGACCCGGTTCGTTTGCAGTCGTGGGAGTGGCTTACTTTGAAAACGTAATTGGGGTTCCTTTGCAAAAAAAAAAAAAGTTGCTGTCTTACTGCCAACCTACCTGAAGGCTACTCAAAAAGGAAACCGCTTGCAATCCTAGTTCAGCCGCCCTATAAAACACACGCCCACACGCATTTCATCATCATTAAACGTTATTTAAATGCCCACATTCCTTTGTAGGCTTACTAATGAGCCTATTTGTCCTGTTATCTCTCAGCCACTTTTGTTTTTTGGAAACTGAAGTGGCTACCAATATCACTAGCACCTTTGGAAGATCACTGATGTCATTCTTCACCGCCACCCCACCCCCATCCCTTCTTCCAAGCCAAACTGGTATCCTAAGGAGTATAGGCAAGACTATTCATTTTTTTTCCTTAAAGGAATCTCCCAAACCCAAACCGAACATATCAACTTGACAAATATGTATTGAGCACCTGTGTGCTAGGTGCACATCTTATTATAAGCTCCTTGAGGGCAGGGACAGCCAGTTGGTATATCCACTGTGCCTGGCACAGAGTGGGTGCTTAATAAATGTTGATTGAATTGAATTGATATTGAGAATGCAGCCGTCTGAAGTTGCATTTTCCTTTTGGATTACATAAATAAGTCACTTTTTAAAAAAACAAGGAAATCTGGAACTTTGCACAGGTGCCTGGCACATACTAGGTGTGAAATAAATGTTTCTTGACTTGAAATGCTGGAACTGTAATATATACCTTTTATGGTATATTTTCTGAATATCAAAATAAAACAAGATGATTTTCTTTTTTCCTTTTATTCTAGTATTTTATCCATGAGCTATAGTTCATGTTTATATAGTTTATGGTGTGCAAAACCTTTTCCTCACAACCACCCTGTGAGGTAGGGTAACATTATTATTGAGTATATTTTATAGGTGAGGAAGCTAAGACCTAGAAGGATGAAAGGACTTGTCCAGTGTTGCAGCTGGGAATCTTAATCTCTAACACCATGCTGACTTAATGAAATTATGAATAAATACCCATAGGCCTCACTTATTTGGCCTTAAATATTTATGAATAATTTTTAAAATATTAAAGGTGATTCATAAAAAGAAACCAATATTTCATGGAATATTCTATATAATGTTTTAGAGTTAAGAAAAATTAGTCCCTAATTGCATATAACTATAAATGGCAAAGTTCTGTCCCTTGAACTGTAAAACTTTAATACAGTCAACTGTAGCTAAGTGTTAAAAGAAAGACTGGAAATTCAAAAACTTAAAACAGCAGTAAAATATTAGTCAATGCCTATGAGAAATGAGTCTGTCCCTTTATTCAGGGTGTCTGTGTTTAATGGTAAGCTGGGATGCATATAAGCTAGTCCAAGCATGAAGGGCAGTAGGACACTCATATGGAAAGCCAACTTTGTCCCTCAGTTATCAAGATAAGAAACCTGTCATTTCTCTCATTCACTCTGTCAGCCTTGAGATACTCCAAGCAGACTTACCTCTGTGTTGTACACCCCATATATCAGGAAGATGAAGAGACCCTGTAAAATAAAATGGAGGGGAAAAGCTGTTAACTCTAATCATTTCAGCAGTAGAAATACCTGAAATAAACTTTCCTGGGAACAGACAAAAGAAGACACACTTCATCAAGGTCAATTTATTTTTCTATTTTTCAACATTATAAGCTGTACCTTGAACATTTATTTGGTAACATGGGACTGCATTTTGCCTATGGCATTTTGTGCTATTCACCTCTTTAGAAATAGAAAAAGATGTCACCAATAGTGGAGCTTATTAATTAGAAAAATTGTTATGCTTGCCTCTGAACAATCTTTGCTTAATGAATTAAAGATGAACTCAGAAATGTCACTCAAATAATTTTAGAATCATTGGTGAACTATTAGTATTTCTAAATACCATAAAAAATTTGGTTACAGTAGATATGTAAGCCATACCTCAAATAAATAATACCTTTTATTAAAATGTGAATTGTCTTATAGGAAAAAGAATAGGATAGTAAAAATGCTATCATTTCAATTAATTTCCAAATAATTAGCTGTTGTGAAATTTTGCAACTTTTCTGTATTTTAAAAAGTTCCTAGTTTAAAATCTAAGAAATATGCTACTTAACCTTATATTTAACACCTCCATATAATTATGCAGTACTTAGCTCACTGCAAATGTCATAAAGGAAGGTTTTTGTCAATCATACCTATATATAAAAACTCATTAGAAGTTAGAATAGTAAACTCAATTTTCCATAGAAAAATACATGTCAATTACTAATGCCTCATTAGTGCCCATCTTTCTTTACCTGTCTTTGCTTTTGGAAATTGAAGCAAACATTAAGCACTAATGTGGTAATGATTATATAGGGGACCATAATTAAAATCTGTAATAAATGCTTAAAATTAAGAAAATAGCAAATTGTGATGATTTTCAGAAAGTACTCTATATATTACTAACTAAACTTAGATTTAGAGATTAGATTTATGTTAGAAGGTAGAGGAGCCCTGAAGTATTATTTCTACATTTGATTTTTATCTCTGAGTTCATATGACAAATGATGCACAAGAGTTCACAAAAAAACAAGTTAAAAATAAAAATTCATAATAATTTCTTAATGATTTGTATCAGTCAATTCCCTTATAGACTTTGAGCATCACATTTTTAACAGAAATGTTTAGTACAAAGGGTTTTTTTCACCTTTCCGTAAGTTTTCTTCTCATTCTAGTTGCTTATATTTTATTGGTGCAAAAGCATTTTATGTAATAAAATGGTCTATTTTGACTTTTATAATCTCTTTGATTCTATATATCTGTTTGTGAAGGTTTCCCTTGCCTACAATTGTGAATAGCACTTCTCTCTCTCTCTCGCTGTCTCTCTCTGTCTCTGTCTCTGTCTCTGTCTCTCTCTCTCTCTCTCTTTTGGTGTAAGTTGACTTTTTTATTTGTACTCATTGGGTCATAGATTTATAACCTGAAAGGAAATTATCATCCTCTAGTTCACACTCTTCATTTTTATTGATGAGGAAACTGAGGCTCAAATTAAGTACCTGATCAAGGTCACATAGATAATAAATGGTAGACCTGGGATTCAGACTCAGATTCTCTGACTCATAATTTAGTTGTCTTCCTGCTATATCATTCTATGGTATAAGATGCTTTTCTAAATTTTTTTTTGCCAAATTGCTTTCTAGTTTTCTTGGTGGTTATTATCAAATACAGAGTCCCTTCTGCAATTGTTTGTGTTCTTAGGTTTACTGATAACTCAATGTCTTTGTGCGTTTACTTATCTAATCTGTACTTCTAATGTATTTTCCTATTTTTTATTCAGTACCAGATAGTTTTGATAATTACTGCTTTGTAATATAATTTGAGATCTGACAATACCAACCTCCTTCCTCCTTTTCTTGCTTATTTCTAATGATGCTTTCTGGCATAATAATTAAAACATTAAAAGTACTATAGCACCTGAGCAAATAATGAAAAACTTTAAGAGAGTATATGAATTATTGAATCTTACCATTTCAGTGGGAGATTTTAAAAAGCACATGCATACTCATAGCCATTATGCTGTGTGGGTGTATATATCATACCTAGCATAATTTCAAAAGAAAACAACCCTTTCAAAGAAACAGAACAGATTTATACAGCACAGATTGAACAGAATTAATTTTGTTTTACAGGTCATTATCTTATTGACTACTATTTCTTTCTATTCTAGATAATTCTGGGTTTTTCTCAGTTATCTAAGTGTGATGGTACACAGCTGCAATTCAACAGATAATTTCAAACTCTATTCAGTTGTAGAACTATATGAAGGATAAATAACTCAAATCTGAATCCCATTTAAGAGTTTGTAATTTTACCTTTGTATAGATAAAAGGTGAGTTATTATGTAAGTCAAATTTCTACAAATTGGGTCACATAGTAATGCAGCACATGTAATAAATATTAAGGAGCCTTACTATCTGGATAACATCTTCAGTAACTCTTTTGGTATTAAAAAAAATGATTGGTTACATGAGTAGTCCCCTAATTTTTTTGGTCTTAGAAGTTCATATTTTCATATGCCATATTTTCTTAAAGTGAGACCCACATCTAGGAGAAAAGCAAAGCAGAAAGCAAACCAAATAAGATAAAAGTATATATTTTTTCTATATCTGTTGGCCTGATAGTTTATGTCATTCATATATACAATTACTAGCAATTCACCACTCTCTAATAATTATTTTTGCATTTTATTACATTCAATCTCTTTATGGCAAATATATGCATACATGTGCTATTTTTTGAGCTTTTAATTAATATAAAATGAATAGCCATATGCACCCCTTTCCAAGAAAGTTGAAAATTTGTCAGTTTAACTGAGGGGAAAGAAATCATATCTAAGCAGTATCTTATTCCCTTCTTCTCCTCTTTTTCTTCAACAGATGTACAACATAAGAACGTGAGTAAGCCTAGTTAACCAATAAGTGTCTGCCTGAGAATTGTGAAGTCTGAAACTTAAAATTACTGTGGGGAGTCCATGTCTCCCCTTCCCTCAGGCAATCTACATGATGTCAACATAGCCAGTGAAAAATTCAATACAACTAGGTTTGAAGTCTTATATGACACAAAATTGCCACTTGGATTTTTTTCACCAAACTGACCAGTTATTTGATTTATTCAACTGCTGTTTGGGCATCATATAGACATAATTTTCAAAATATAAGCCTTTCATTATTAGATTTACATCCCATTTCCTGTCCCTTTAGATTCTGAAAAGAAAAAAAAGGTAACAAAACAAACTATTGGATAAAAATCCTAGACTTCTTACTACTTCATAACTATGAGCCATTTTTCAATTCCTGCAGAGAGAACCCTGTTAGGAACAGCTGGAAGGAACCAACTGCCAAACCTCAACTGGCACAGAAATTTCTGGAACTCCTTACTCCAACATTCTGTCCTGTTGAAGACTAATCATCAAAAATATCCCACTTATTTCTGAAATATCTGCAAAGATGAAAGATTCTTCAGCTGTTACACAGGTATCAACTTTTTTTTTCTCTCCATCCATAGGAATATTGCTGTGCTTAATTGGTGCCACCATTTATAGTGATACCAAATTCCTAGTGCTGCAACCACAGTAAAAATATCAATAATTGGGCAGGAAGCAACCAAGTGTAACAAGCTGGATTCCTATTGCATGTGAATGCTTATTGGCAAGAGCTAGAATCTGGAGAAGACGTTAAGACATTACTCAGATACTATACAGCAGTTAAAGAAGGAAGCTCTAGAAAAAGAGAGAGAAAGAGACACTGATCCCTTGCTGTAGTTCATCTAAGACACCTTGAAAGCAAAGGCAACTTTTTAAACAATTCCAACCATTATGGAAGCAGTCATGGGAATAATTTGTACAAACAGATAAAAGGATTGAGACCTAGTCTGTTGTTTTTGTATTGATCATTTTTGTGCTTTTATCATACTCTTTATGGTTGCTGCAAAATCAATCTTCTTTCAAGTGGTAACATGTTATTTTCCTTTCCTATGCTATGAAAAGAAAAGAACAGGTACCCTGCTTAAACACTGAACACTATATCATAGCCTCACAAATGAAAAAAATAAAACTTAACAACTAGGTTAAGACTTCAAATGTGAGCACACATTAACACCTCTGTCACCAGGTTCAAGATGAGATTGTAGAGGTCATTCAACACATAGGTTTATTAAATTCATTTCACAAACATAAAATTGTTTCAAACAACTTTGGTTCTGTTCAGATCTCAGGTGGTCTAGCTGGTACAGCAGGAAATGAACGTTAAGAACTGTTTCTCATTACTATGTGCCAAGTGTGTTTTATGTTCTCTTCTTGTATCACTGCAGATTCACATTTGATGACGTATTCTTACTATGTGCTGGTTTACGTATGGTTTCCCATCCAGAAGCAGCTGGGTGACTGCATAGTCAAACGGGCTCATTGTTATCGTCAACATTTATTGAATAGCCATAGGAACATATGGCACTGTACTAAAAGGTGCAAGATTTTAGAAAGGATAGAGACATTGTGTTTGTTTTTAAAGAGACAGTCAAGGGGGGAAAATAAAAGCAAATTCATTTGCATGTAAGAAATTCACCCTGATATATATAAACTACCATAATATTAGGAAAGCTTAGTGCTCGATGCGTGAAGACTTCCTGGAGGAAAAGAAACTAACATGAAATATTATCACTTTTATCAGTTTTTGTAATGTATAGAAGAAAACTCAGAGAAGTTCAGAAGGAAGCATAGAAAAGCAGGGAAATTTTGAAAGTAATGTGTAAGATTTTTTATAGGTCTTTTTTTTTAGAGTGAGCAGTATAAAATGGAAATTCACAATTTCATATAGAATTCCCTTTTCTCTTTTTTCTATGTATATAGAAATGTTCCTTTCTTTACTCAGATTTTTAAAATAGAAAAAACCATGAGTCTTAAAGGAGAAGAACAATTGCATGGCAGCAAATGGGAGGCATGTGATGACTTGACAGCTTCAACAAGAGTAATCAGATTTAGGGAGGTCTGTACATAGGGGATGGCAAGTATATTTGCTTGAGGAACAGAGCAAGCAGAAGTGTAAAAAAGGATGAAAATTATTTCATTTCTGAAGTTTAGCTAATAGAGAGGACCTTTGCAGTACCATCAGGAAACAGAATTTAATCTAGAACAGGGCTCCTTAACCTGGGGTCTATGAACTTTAAAAAGTACTTTGATAACTGTATTTCAACATAGTTAGTTTCCTTTGTTATCCTATATATCATATGTCCCACCACCTGCATGGCACAGTGGATCTGGAGTTGGGAAAACCTGTTTTCCAAGGGTGCCTCAGACATGTACTAGCTGATTGATGCTGGCTAAGCCACAAGCTCTATCTGCTTCAGTATTTTCAACTGTAAAATGGGTATCATACTAGTACCTACATCACAGAGTGGTTGTAAGGGACAAATGAGATAATATTTGTAAAGTGCTTCGTAATCTGTAAAGTGCTATTATCAATGCTATTATTTATTTATTCGCTTCTAAAAATATTATTCTGAGAAAGGTTTCACCAACTTCCAAAGGGATCCATGACATAAAAAAGTTAAGAATGCTTTATCTAGAAGATGACAGAAATATATTAAAAGATTTTAAGGAGGAAATGATTCTTTCAAAGTGTTTTTAGGGTTAATTTTGGCAGAGATGCACAGGAACAATTGGAAGAAGGAATAGGAAATAAATGTGAGAACCATATGATGAAGAATGCATAGACCAGATTTAAGGTTACTAGAAATGTGTTAAGGGATTTGATGAGAAACAGAATTCAATGAAAGATCCAAGAAATGTTGTGCAGGGGGGAAATGGTAGAATCATATTTACTACATAAATGTAAGAGATTAAAGCTAAATTTAGAATAGAGAAAGAATAATGGTATTAACAGCAGTTACAGGGAAATGGGGATAAGGATAGGGAAAGTTTTTAGGGAAAGATTCTGTACACCGTCCTTCATATGCTCTGGTAGTAGTAGGCAGACATTTTGGTGTCTGAGAGGCAGCTGAACCATTGTTCTCTCTGTCAGAGGAGCAAGGTTCCAATCCTAGTTATGTGCTAACTGTTATTTGTATAACCTTAGGTAAGTCATTTAATGTATCTAGGTCTCAGTTTCTTCATGTATAAAATAAGAAACTTGGATTTGCTTATCTATAAGGTACCTTCCTGCTTTAAGTCCTATGACTTAGTTTTGGTGACTTAAGATGTAATTACACAGGGAAAATTACCAAATAGACAAATATCAGGTGTCTAGCGATCCTACTCATAAGAAGGGATACTCACGAACAAAACAAAGGAACATTTCATATATAAATCTAATAATTAAAAACAAATGCATTTGTATGCATGCATTGTGAAATACTGACTTTCTTTTTGTGATCTCTTGTGGAGACTTAATTAATTTAGCTATTCGAGGCTTGTAATTATAAAATGTCATACCTGGAAAAGACATAATATAGTCCAACATCCTCATTTAATAGATGTGGAAACTGAGACCCCCAAAAATGAAAGGATTTGCCTAAGGTCATATAGCTAGTAAGTGGCGATCTGAATTCAAAGCCAGATGCACCTCAAAGTGCGCTTTCTTTTTCCATGACCTGATGCTTATGTTTAAGAATATCCTATGGTTAAGAATATCACTTAGCAGAGTGTCTGGTGTACAATAGGTACCTAATAAATATTAGTTCCCTTGAAGAGAAACTTTTGTCTTCTCTGAATTCACAATATTGAAGTTGGGTATAAATATGTTTATATCCTCACCCTTCTGATTTCAGTGAAAGAAGCAAATCTCTGCTGAGGTGAGCGACTATACACTACCTTTGATCCCACCACTCTGTACTCCTTTGGATTTCTTCACTATACCCAGGAAATTTTCATTCAGGAAGATTATTTCAGCCCTACCACTTACACTTCTGAAGTACTCTCTGCCTCTGGGGCCCCTCCTCCTGATTGGAGGGCTCTTCACAGAATCTCCGTTTCAGGAAGGTGCCCAGCCAGCCATCTCTTCATTTCCCACTAGGCTGCACTCTTCTGGACATCTCCACCCCAAACCAGATATCAGCTTCTTTTTATTCCTTGTCTTCCTCATTAGAATGTAAGCACCTTGAGGGAGGGGCTATCTTTCTTTTTGTTTGTATTTGTGTTCCTAGCACTTATAATAGGGCAGCTAGGTGGCACAGTGTATAGAATGTTAGGCCTGGAGTCAAGAAGACTCATCTTCCTGAGTTCAAATCTGGACTCAGACACTTCCTAACCGTGTGACCCTGGGCAAGTCACTTAACCCTGTTTGCCTCAGTTTCCCCATCTGTAAAATGAGCTGGAGAAGGAAATGGCAAACCACTCTAGTATCTTTGCCAAGAAAACATCCAAATGGATTCATGAAGAGTTGAACACAACTGAACAGCAGCAGCATTTATCACATCATCTGACACATGGTAAGTGCTTCATAAATGCTTGTTGATAAACTGATGCTATCCTGACAACTCTTATTGAAAAGGGGGCACATCATCCCTGCCATCACCAATATCAACTGTCTCCAACAGGTAGGCAATCTCAAGAGCCCCATGCTTTCAGCCTAGCCCCTACATACATTATGAAAAGGAACAACCTTTGTGTAGATGTAACCTAGAAATTTCTTCTGCAGGTGCCCAATATTTAGCACAGTGATTTGAGCTTAGTACAGAGGTCTATGTCCTTCTTAAATTTCTAAAGTCCAAGAACCCTAAATGGTACCTAGGCCCTAGAGGCTATTCTCTTCCTACATATTTGACTGTCCCTTCTGTCTCCTTTACAGTGTCTTTACCCAGGTCACACACATTAACTCTAGGAATTCCCCAGGGGTCTGTCCTGGGCTTTCTTCTCTTCTCCCTTAATATCTTATTTGGTGATTTCAGCATATCCCATAGATTCAATTTTCTCAATGCAGATGATTCTCAGACTTATTTATCTAGCCCTTGTCTCTCTCCTGACCTCTAGCCTTGTATCACCAGGTGCCTATTGGACATCTTAAATTGGATGTCCTATATACAACTCAAACTCAACATGTCTAAAACAGAAATTATTATATTTCTCCCCAAAGCCCACTCCATTCTAAAATTCTTTATTACTATTGAGGACAATACTATCCTTCCAGCCACCCAGACTCATAACCTCATCGTCATCCTGAACTCCTTACATTCACCCCACATATTCAGTCTCTTGCCAAATCTTGTCATTTCTGTCTTCATAACATCTCTTCTACATTCTCTCCTTTTCACACAAACATTACCCTGGTGTAGACTCTCACCACCTCACACCCGGGCTATAGCAATAGCCTTCTGATTGTTTTCTTAGAGGCTGAGTCAATAAATATTAAGTGCCCACTATGTGCCAGTTACTCTACTAAGCTCTTGGGATGCAAAGAAATACATCAGACAGTTCCTGCCCTCAAGTAGCTTACAATCCAAAGGAAGGAATATAGCACATAAAAATAAACTGAAAGGAGAGGGA